CGTGTGTGCGTTGGAGCACAGAAATACGTAGACAAAAAAACTGCCACATTACAAATCTTTTTGACAGGACGAAGTCTGTCGGGTCAGCTAGTAGTATATAAAATACACAGATAGAAGTTAACCTCCTTGGTAACTTATTATAAATATAACCTTGGCTTTTTAATAGCACAAGTCTATAGACCACCTAGATTTTAGATTTTTGTAGTATGGATTAAGATTAAAATTTTGAGTATATGTTATAGTGACAATTTATGTCGATGCCATGTGAAATCAAGTAAGTTCCAAAAGTAAGTAATAAATTATACTTTCTTCATTATTAAGAGCTATGCTCTTGTTCGTGGAGCACCCTCCATAAATTTCTAAATTGGGTTTTTTTTTCTATTTCTCTATACATTGATCTTACTTTTTCCTTTCATGTTGATATTATAGCCAGTTGTATTGTTTTTCATTGCTCTCTCCCTTCCTCTCTATCCTTCTTCACTTCCTTCCTGAATGGTAGAAGTTAATTTGTCATTCTTCTTCCTCTGTTGAGCATAGTTTCTAGTAGCCGCTTTCTTCGTAGACATCCTTATTAACTACTTCATTTGTTTTCAGTTCTGTCTGGCTAACTATTATAAAACATTCACAGTGGCTTATTAATTAATTGTAAGAGTATTTATTACAGGGATGGAAAGGGCACTTTTGACATGTTAAAAATGACAAATTTAAAAAAAACTTTTCCTTACTGAAAAATATGATTAAAAAGTCCACCAGCCCCAGGTAGACCGTGGAATCAATAAGAATTTTTCATTAAAGATATTTGCAATCATTGTTTATACAATTTTGCATTGTGAATACAAATTGATCAAATGTGATGATATATTTAATTTATTTTCTGGCCCTTGGCAATGACAAACAAATTTTTACTTACTATTTCATTTAATTGTTTATTTCTTTACCGATTGGCTCCGAAGTTGTAATCGATTCGAAAATCTTTCACCTATGAGAACTTACACCTTATGTGGGGGACATAGACAATAAGTTATGCGCCCGGCGAAGACGCGCAAAACTGCTAGTCCAATATTAAAAAAAAATACAGTTACTTGTTGACGCTCAAAGGAAAGCATAATTACATAAAAAATTAAACAAAAATAATATCTAGAACATTGGGCAATCCAATAACTTTCCGAAATAGCCAAGGTTTAATTAGTTTTTAATTGATTATTTATTTGTTGTCATACGGCACAGTAAAAACATGTCGACATTTTAGTGCCAGAGCTAGTCATCAAAATTGATATCATAATAATTGGGTTGTAGTATGGACTTACGAGTGGAATTAGGAATTTTTGTAAATTTCAAACTTGAAAATATTAAAGCAAGAAATAGTACTTTAATGAATGCCTAATAGAAATCGTACAATTAGGCGAATATGATTATGAGTGATTATGAGATTCAGGAATGTTAAGATTATTTGCTACTGATATTTTTTTGTTTAATTAAATATGAAAACGACACCTGCAATCATAATCATTTGGGTAATAATCAATTAATTGTTTATAATGTAATAATTTTTTAATCTTGAATTGTCAGATACACGGTGTGCAGTCAATTTGTCTAAATATTCGAGATAAAATTCGGCGAATTCGAATATTCGTATTCGTTGTATTTATTACTTGAAACTACAAACTACTTATAGTTACTTTAATAAAAGGAAATGCATAAAAGTGAATTAATACAACTTTCAGTTATAGAAACAAATCGTGATCATTGTAATCATGTAAATATTGTAAAAAATATATGTAATGTGAAATCAACGCGCCCGTCCACAAGATAGATTTCTTTTCAAGAACGATAATATTATAAATTTTTGTTTCGTCCTTTTCGGTGCCCTTTCACACTGTGTCATTGTATATTTTTTAATTTATTACCGCTTTTTTGAGTGTTATTTATTTATAAAAAACGAATTGGAAGTTATTTATTTGGTACGAGGGTCAAACTGAAAGTTCTTAGAAAATCAAAAACTGATTACATTAGCCAGTTATTAGTTTTATTATATCTTTTCAAAATATTGTCCATTCACGTCAATACACCGCTGCATGCGATGGAACCACTGGGAAAAGCACTTTGCCCACTCGTCCTTAGGGGTCTCTTCAATGGCATCGCGATACGCAGCCACCGCTTCTTCAGCATTCATAAACCGCTTTCCTTTAAGTTTTTCTTTAATTTTTGGAAATAAATAAAAATCACAAGGCGCGAGGTCGGGGCTATACGGCGGGTGACCCAGTAATTCAACGTTTGATGTCGCCAAATAGTCGATCGTTCGCTTGGCGATGTGCGACGAGGCGTTGTCGTGGTGAAGGAGGATCCTACTGCGAGGTCGTTTCTCTCGAACTTTTTCCATGACAAGTGGCAAACAATTGGTAGTGTACCATTCTGCAGAAACTGTTTTTTGATCCTCTAACACAATTGTTGCAAAATGACCTATCCTTCCAAAGAACGAGGCCACCATTTTTTTTCCCGCACTTCGATCTCTCTTCACTTTAGTTGGCAACTCCTCGAAAGGAAACACCCACTGAGCAGATTGTCTTTTGGTTTTAGGATCATAACAGTAAATCCAGCTTTCGTCACCTGTTAGTATGTCGAACACAGCATTTGAGTTACCTCCGTTAAATCTTTCAATCATTTTACGACACCAATCCAAACGATGGAGTTTTTGAGCCTCAGTCAAATTATGAGGTATCCACCGGGCGCAAAGCTTCCTGACCGCTAAATGTTCGTGGAGGATTTTGTGCACTTGACTCATACCGATGCCTAAGCTTGTCCGAATCTGTTGATAGGTCACTCTTTTGTCAGTCTCTATCATACGCCGCACAACACAGATGTTATCTTCAGTCGTCGCCGTAGAAGGCCGTCCCTCACGTAAATCATCAGTGAGATTAGTGCGACCACGTTTAAACTCATTAAACCATTTGTAAACAGTCGCACGAGATGGGGCTTCATCGTGAAAGGCCAATCGTAGTCTATCATAACTTTCTTGTTGACTTAAATGACATCGAAAGTCATAAAAAATCATTGCACGAAAATTTTCTCGTGTTAAATTCATGATGACGTGACACAGACAATTTTCAATTTGCCGCCAAATCGTAAAACAAATGACAAATGAATGAAATATATACTCAGTAATATTGGCAAAGAGTTATATTTTCAAATTTTAGAATTATTTTTTTATTATATTGTTTATAAGTGGCCAGTTCTAAGAACTTTCAGTTTGACCCTCGTATATATGCTATCTTTCCGCCAGCAACTGGTCCTATATTATACATGTAAACCTTCCTCTTGATACTCTATATATTGATGAAAACCACATTTAAATCCGTTGTGTAGTTTAAAATATTTCACCGTACAGACAGAGGGGAGCTACATTGTTTTATACTATCTTTAGAAGTATATTGCACTTGGTCCCTTAAACTAAATTGACTATAATTAAATGTTTTTAATAATTTATTGAACACAAATATAAATACTGCAATAACAATCTAATTACATTAACAAAATCTTACATTTTGGTGGTTACAATAATTTATGTAATTAAGTGTGAATCATAGAGGTAGATTTTACTAGAACATAAATTAATTATTTTGATTATTAACCGTACGTAATGGGAATTCAAACAGTAAGCAATTAACAAAATATATATACATATTATCTTTAATTCATGATTTTATCTCTTATTTCAGATTTTGCTTTTGAAGAAGACAGCCGTCTGTCTGTGCAACTCCTTATCAGTAATTCGGTAAGTGTTTTTTTTTTTAAATATTGTAAAAAGTTTTTTAAAGGTGTTTTAGGTGACAAGTTCATAGCCTTCTTTCATTGTTTGCTAATGATGACTAAAAAAGAAACATTTGCGTATTTTTTACTTTTAATAAAATATGTTCCCTTTAGCGGGAACCGTGTTTGTAATACAAATTTTAGGTGTCAATTAATTTTAATTGTCACTTAACAAAAGTGATATTCTAAAAGATTTAAAAAAGAGATGATATAGAATGTGTTCTTTTTAGAGTTCCTTACCCAAATGTTAAAACGGGAACCCTATTAGAATATTAGAAGACTTCGCTGTCTATCATCAGGCTATCTTATGAACCGTGAAAGTTAGACAGTTGAAATTTTCACAGAAAGTTTTATGAATCTTCAAAAGAAAATTGAAATCTATTTTTTGTGATTGTGTGAGCGATTTGAAAGAACTGATAATGTTGTTTTTTTTATGTTATGACTAAAATGTTTTCTACGGCGATTGCTTAATGTGAATTGTTTAAAATTAATATAACTTTGTACCCTTGTTAGACGTCAATTTCATAATATCTGTTTTATGGCTGTTTTGTGCTTATTACCTATATTATGCCTGTCGCATGGCGTTCACAGTTTATTTATTGGATATTATTCTGGAAAATCCAATTAATTAACTATATCGTCGCTATTTTGGCTTGACAAATCTTATATGTGGCAAAAATATACTTAAAAAAAAGTTTTTATTTGACAATATCGCACCCATACTGGTAAAACCTGTTAACGGGTTTTTACCACAAAATGAAGCTCGAAACTTTCTATCGAATGCTGTAATTAACTCATTTTTGTAAAAATATACTGTAAACATAATTACAAAAATGTTAATTTTTACAAAAATGAGTAAAATACATAAGTACCTTACGCTGGCTGGTAAAACTAGCAGTATAAAGTGCGATATGACAGCTGCTGCGCATAGTATATTTTATTAAGGGGATCGTCGTACCTTGTTCAAAAGCACATCGCAGTTACTTTGTACTGAAGATTTGGCTTAACTCTAAGGGCAACAGGCGGTAATCTCACATAGCTGGTTTTAGTTTGACAACGGTGATGTCTTAATTACCCGTAGAAGCAATACTTATTGTGTATTGCTTCTACGGGTTCACTGGCCAAAGTTTTGTTATGTTATTTCTAGATGTGGAAAATTTATTTTCTTGTTTATGTTCGTACGTAAATTTGTTGGTTGCCCGGAACTCGTTGACCGGTCTACACTATGCCGCAACCGCGGCAGTGACGTGCGCATGACGCGCTGGTTCGTTCAACAGCAGAGCATAGCGCGCACGGCACGCGCCGCCAGTCTATGCTCGTCGCGCACCTCTTGCGCGCGCTCCATATATCAATACAAATCGCGAAAGTCGACCGCATTATTGCATTCAATAGGTGTCTTCACACTCTTTTAGAAAAGGTTCGTCCTTTTCGTCGTGCATCCGTTTTGTGAGTAACTGCATACCTTATTGTCACTACAATGAGCATACCTCTCTATTTGTTTTAGTTTGTAATACAGATGATCGAATAATAATATTTACTATTTAAATATATATTCCCTTCCTTTTTGTTTGGTAAACAAATTGGGTTTTTTCTAGTTTAGTGTTAATTGTTTTTGGTCTGATTATTATATTTTTAATGCACGTATTAACTTAAAATAATATTTTTGTCCAAAAGTGGTGTTACGAGGTTTTCTTATGAAAGTGTAATTATGTTAATTTTTTACATAACTTGATCCTGTTGTTTCACTTTATTTTAATTTTATAATTGTACCCACAATTTCATCATTTAAAGCTGGACTTACATTATAATTATTAGTGTTTACCATTGTTCAACAATAATACGGAAACAAGTGTGCATTAATCAAAGTTTGAGTTAACTTTATAATTTACAAATATATGCTCGTGAAGATGCCCCTTAACTAACACTTGTTACAAGTTATCGCACCTTTCAATGCTAAAATTAAATTATAAGAAATATGTTATCGTTATAAAGTTATATCTAATTGTCACTGACTTTTATTGCTATAGACCACTAAAAGATGCTTTATTTTTTTAATTCCATTACTTTTATATGGTATGTAAAAAGAATCGCTTTATAAATACATTTAGGTCATCGATTACAAGACAATTTAAATTAAAGTAGAACTTACAAGTATTATTAGTATTCAGCTATCTTTTAATACCTATGTATGTATAAAATTTCCATAATACGCGATATATGTTTTTTGGCAACAACTAATTCTATCTACATTTTAGATTTGTTTCAAACCCTTAATTAATAAATGAAAATGGTACACGACGTATGTATATACGTCGAACTAGACTAGACTAGGATATTTTCCGCAACTTTCCCTGTGCAAATTATAGCCATGTCACCCGTGTATGATGAAGCCTCCCCTTGGTGAAAGAATTTTTCAAATCGGTTCAGGAATTTCCGAGCTAGTTTCAATGTAAAAAATCAACAACATTTTGTACGTTTAATAATATTAAGTACCAATTTTTTAATTTCTTATTAGGTTTTATTTGGTTAACTCCACATAGTATCCGAAGCGTATTCTAAATAAAAGTTAGCCAAAGACCTTAGTATGCTAAGTAGGTTCATTATCATACAGTAAGGCAATTCTGCTAATGGTAAACTACAAGCCTTATGACACAGTTCTTATTACTAGATCACAATATATCTGTCACCATTGATTGGTAAGAAAGATATTGCACTAATAATATTGGATTTCAAGTATGCCTATAGTATAATGGCAAAATGTAAGAAGTTAAGACTCCCTTGAGATGCGATTATTACGTGAATATTCACTGAATTAGGCACAGATCCTATTATTTGTAACCTTAAAGGGTTTTATTAAAAAAAAACAATCATAACGCTTTAAACCGAAATCAAAATCAAACGAGTATTTCAATTAGAATATCCATTTTCTTTCTGAACTAATAGATTGATTTAGGATCTAAACCTCGTGTTTAATCGTGTCAATTATCCATCTTTAGTCATACCTCAACGAATCAAGCGCTAATTAAAATCTATTATCGGATATTGAAAAAAATTTCATTAGTAGAATTAACCATCGATTGTCGCATCGTTGCTTTCGGAGATTATTTTAAGAATTAAACTATTTTCTGTTGTATTTCAATTTACTTGACAATAATCTATCTGTCCATTCTATTTCTCGCTAAAACTCGAGAACAGCTAAGCCGTATTATCTGGTTTTGGTGGCCCAGGACTACTACATACTACTTTCATAAACATTCCAGTTCTATTTTAGCTGGAATTGTATCGTATGTCACTTAGTAGAATAGAAAAACCATTAAAAACTGTAGTTTCGTTCGGTTTCGATCCGTTTTCGATTCGATTTAAACAAAATTTATTTAGTAGTATTTACCCCCTGAGGCTGTAGTCTCGACAGAGTTTTTCTATCATATTCTTACCGAATTCTGTCACTAACACGTAGCGATCGTAAATTAACGATTATTGTAAGTTTAGATATATTGTTATTTGTTAATTACGTACTGAGTACAACTGTTAGGGATGAAACGATTCGAGTAAATACAGGTACTAACTCGATATTTTTCTTTCGATGCCAATTAATTTTAAAACCGATACTTTAGAACTGAGTAACAGGTAGCATCGTGAAATAAGTATTTGTATCGGTACTTGGTCGATCTCTCACTGAGGGAACTCGTGTGCATAAGACTTTTTAATCTGTGTTGACTAAAGTGTGTCTCATGTAAAAGTCCCACAGGCGCGGCGGCCTGTCGTCCTGTGTCCTGTCTTATAACGAAGCATTGTTAACCCCTACTAATTTTATGTAATTAGAGATCTATCTAGAAAGGGCACTACCAACAAAACAGAGTATTGCTATGAACTATCAATAGCTTTATAACTATCGGATTTGATATCTGCTCTTAAAACCTATAAAAATATTCGATACAAGTAGCTATCTATACTTTACATTCTATCACGAGTATATCATCAGTACCTCATGACCAATACCATATCAAGTATAAGTTTCGATACCTTAGTGGTATCGTTTATCCCTAGCAACTGTCAAATTAGCGATATTCGTTAGTTTCCTAGCGATCGAGTTTGTCACCTCAATCAGTGATCTCTGCGATCGCTGCCAATGTCGAGCATGCCCAGGTAAGGTTTAAGCGGTAACAGGTGATAGGAAGTACACCGGGTCATTGAGTAGTTTCAAAATGTATTATCTGAACTTGCGCTTCTTTTCCATCTGGTTAGTCCAAATTAAGAATACTAAAATGGCGGAAAACATGTTTTAATTAGAAATACAAAGATTTTGTATAAACACGAGTTATTGAAATGTCCGAATTTACAAAATAAAAACTATAAAAAACGATATCTGTCGGGCCAGCTAGGTTTTATTCGTAAAGGTAATGTCGCTTTAAACCATTGAAAAATTTAATGGACGTTTGTCCTACTGACTGTATGTCACGAAGCCTTACAAAGGACAATTAAGATACTTCTATTAATTGAAGAGTAGAATTTGAAATCAATTTCACTTTATGACTTTTTTTTACAGGTGATTTAACCTGTAAAAAAAAAAGTGCGTCAATTACTGCCCTAAGTAATCCGTATAATACGAACTAAAATTAATGTAAATTTTATTGCTTTTAGTTATTCCTAATAGTGAATAATAAAACCGTCTTCTTTCATGAGACGCTCTATTTTCGTTATGATGATAATCGAACTGTTAGAAATGACATAAGTAAATCCTTTTTGCTTTTGTTTACAAAAGTTTTATTTTTGCTAAAAAAATAGTGCAAACTTTTTTATACATATGTTTTAATATGACGTTGTATTATGTTTTTCATCAAAGATTTTTATATTTATTTTATATTTAAATGATGAAACATAACTATACATTGTCATCCAAACTAAACCGGTATGCAAAATTTCAGCATAACTGCTTTAAAATTCAATTGCCAGTTTTTACGAACATACTAACATGCACTTAACAGTTCATATAAAAGCTTGTTACAATAATAATGTCACCCTCCTAACTAGTTTGTTTTTTTCATCGTTTTCGTGTTTATACGGTTTTGGAAAAATATCGACCACTTTAACTATAAAAAATTCCAACTGGATCAGACCTGTCCAAATTTCGATACATAAGGGAAGTTGATTTTTGTTAATATTCTTTATGACATTAATAACTTGTGTTTGCAAAACTTTTATTTATATTGTTAATATTATTATCATATCTATAATAACATTACAGTAGAAACATTATTCTAATACTGAATTAATTTAAAAATTATTCTGTTTCACATATTCTCGCGTATGTATTTGTTTAATGTCAAATTAATTGACAATTTACGTCAGAGGCTTAAAAAGCGTCGACAATAGTGACACATTTTTCAGATGTAAACAATATAACACTGTTTTTTATAAATATCTGCAGACTGCTGGGTTAAACTCTTTTTATACCTACTTTCTTTCGTAACGGGGCGGATAGACTATCCTCGTGTCGATATACATATAATAAAACAAAGTCGCTTCCCGATGTCTGTACGTTAAGATCTTTTAGAACACAAAGGATTTTAATGCGGCTTTCATTAATATACAGATTAATTCAATATAATTTAAGGTAATGAACGCGATATAAAAATGTATGGTAATATAACCAAATTTTCTATATTAATACAAATAGTTTTTATGAAGTTCATAATAAATAGAAAAGGTTCATACCTACTTTATTCCACACAAATCAACAAAAAGTTGATCACTCAAATTTAATAAAAATCCATTTAAAAATATGCACTGTAATATTTTCATTAAGGCAATACGATAAGATTGAAAGGTATACAATTTCTTCATCCCAGAATACATTATTTATGTTATCTTGTGAGATAGGTTATTAAAAAACAGAGATTTGATACCCGAACAGTAAACGATGATGATAATTATGTTAAATAATAAAAGACGACTTATTATCAAATAATAAACGAATAATGAGTACTACAATTTGTTATAATAATCGTTATTAATCGTTTTAATGAATTATCCTGATAACTTTTAAAGCGAATTCCAATCGGAGAATAAACGTCACAAGCACTGCGTTTATTTTCGAGAATAACCGGTAATATAATAAAAATTCGAAATAAAAATAGTAAAGTTAACAATTTATTTATACAGGTTATTTTAATTAAAATAAGAAGGCAAACCAGTTTAAGAGTAATATTTAATTTTATTAAAAAAATATGAATTTATGATGAAAAAACAATAAATTATATGACATTCAACCTTGCGCACAGATGATCGGTCTCGCACTATACCATACTTTCCTGAGGCGTTTGACGGTTCTTCCATCAGGTTTGCACCGACCCTTAGCCCCTAGGAGATGGTTCCTGTTCATAAATTGATTTATTCTCTAAACAAGTAACACTAAACTAGCACCAAAGCATGTGCATATATATGCT